AAAGAAATGCTGAAAACTCCAAACAGATTATACCCAAAAAGAAAAACATCAAGACATAGCATAGTAAATCTTGTTAAAATCAAAGACAAGAATAGAATACTAAAAATAGCTAAAGAAAAACAAAGAATCACATACTGATTAAGCTCTGAGTTCTCAGTAGGGGACCCTGTGAGCAAAAAGACAATGGGATAGCATATACAAAAGGTTGAAAGAAAAGAATTCCTAGCCAAAAATCCTGTACCTGGGGAAAATGTCCTTCAAATATGAAGGAGATTAGGTTATTTTCAGAAAAGTAGAAGCTCAAGAAATTAGTGGAAAAGAAAAAGATCAAATCTACAAGAAATACTTAAGGAAGTCCTCCACACAGAGGTAGTGAAGAAAAGTGGATGGATCAAAGTGGCCAGCAATAACAAGAAAAGGATCTCAACAAAATGGCAGTAACAAAGCATCACACAGAATGTGAATGGCTTAAATGCACCAATTAAGAGAAAAAGAGTAGCAGATTGGCTAAAAAAGCAAAGCCCACCCACTTCCTAAACAACATGCCTCTGAAAACTCTATGAACTTTGATAAATGTCAATAGTTCTAGAAAGGCTTAAGGCCTTTTGTTCATAGGGTTGCTATAAGTCATGTTCGACTTGATGACAATCAACAACATAAGAGACAGATCTATGAAATGACTAAAATTCAAAAGATGGGAAAAAATTATCTCAAGCAAATGGCATCCATAAAAGAGGCAGGAGTGGCAATTTTAGTCTCTAATAAAATAGACTTCAGGGTGAAAACCAGCATACAAGACAAAGGAGGACACTATGTATTGCTTAAAGGTAAAACAGAACAAGAGGACATAACCTTAGTTAATATCTACACACCAAATGATACGCCCATCCACATGATACATCAAATGTTAGTAGACTTGAAGAAATAAATAGACTACAACATCACAGTAGTAGAAGGAGACTTCAACAAACCACTGTCACTGTCAACTCCAAAGTTGAACAAGGACCCAGAAGAACTAAATGATACAATTAGCCAACTGTATATCTTAGACACACTCAGAGTACTTCATCCAACAAAACTCAATTTACTTTCTTCTTAAACACACATGGTACATTCTCTAGATTTAGCTATATATTTGGGCACAAAGCAAGCCTCAAAAAATTAAAAAGCATAGAAATAACACATAGTATCTTCTCAGACTGCAATGCCTTAAAACACAAAATTAACAATAAGAAGACAAAGATTAAAAACCTACCCACGTGGAAACAAATACTACCTTGTTTGATCACTACTAGGTTATAGAAGAAATAAAAAATGGTGAAAAAAGTTCCTTGAGTGAAAAGGAAACCCACAGGCTGGGGAAAAAAATATTTGGTAATGAGACTAAGGTGCGCCAGATCCAGGCCATGGTCTTTACAATTACTTGTCATACATCAGAGAGCTGGACAATGACTACGGATGACAGAAGAAGAACTAATGCCTTTGAGTTGTGGTCCTGGAGAAGAGTCTTGAACATACCATGAACCACCAAGAAAACAGGTCTGTTTTGTAGAGGATAAAACCAAGTTTCTCCTTGGCATCTAGGATTTTGAAGCTCCATCTCACATAGTTTGGGCATGTGGTCAGGAGGGACCAGTTCTTGGAGAAGAACATCACTCTTGGAAGAGTGGAGGGGCAGTGCAGAAGATGAAGATCCTGGATGAGATTGATTGTTATAATAACTAGGGAATTTGGGGTAAGTGTGTTGGAGTCAGTGAGACTGGCTCAGGACAGGACAGGCTTCAGCGATGTTGTACATAGGGTTGCTATGAGTCACAAGGCTACTTGACAGCACATAACAACAACAACAACAACAACATGTCTAATAAAGGACAAATATTTAAAATTTAGAGAATACTTTAGCACTTCAAGAAGAAAAAGGTAAGTAACCCAATTGCAAATGTGTACATTTCACCAAACAAGACATTCTGATGGCAAACAACAAATGAAGAAATGTTCAAAATCCATAGCTCTTAGAGAGATGCAAATCAAAACAACAATGAAATATAATCTTACTCCAACAACAACAGCAAATTTCAACAGGCTAGCAAACGACAAATGCTAGTGAGGTTGTGGAGAGTTTGTAATGCTTATTCACTGCTGGTGAGAGCATAAAATGGTGCAACCACTATGAAAGATATGGCGCTTTCTCAAAACATTGGAAATAGAAATACCATTTGACCCAGCAATTCCACAACTAAGAAACCAGAGCTGCCAGCCAAACACACACACACATAATATATATGTGTATTGTTGTTGTTGTTAAGTGCCATCGGGTCACAGGCAACTCATAGTGACCCTATGAATGAAGTCCTGGACACTTCCTGTATAATTTTATTCCTTTCTCCAGGTTCTTAGGGTTTCCAGAGGCAAGCTATTGTAGAAGTGGAAGCTTCCAAGCTTGTTTTAATCCAGGAGCTTCACCAAACACTGTACACCATGGGTAACAGTATTCAGCTTCACAGCAACCACGAGTTACTTCTGTACAGCTAGTGGACATACCAGGGTTACACGACCTAGAAGAATGTTTCACCAAAAACAATTAAAGGCAGGCCTGAGGACCGCTGAGTAGAATCATCCACCTTTGGCTTGGGAGCATGGCTAGTCCGCTAGGCCGATTACGCTTGCTCTCTCTCTCTCTTCTTCCTTCTCTCCCTCCCTCTCCCTCCGTGTCTGTCTGTCTGTCTCTGCTGTTGGTGGTGGTACTGTTGTTAAGTGCCGGCCCCACTCTTAATTACCCTTACTCTAGGGGTCAAGGCTGCCCACCGGCCTTTGAAGGCCAAAAAGGACAGTAACACACAGTGCAAAAGACCCCAGAAACTTCCCTTGCCTGACTGCCACCAAGAGGAGCCGCCATGGAAATGCCAGCCATCCCACCCGCTCAGCCAGCTGGCTTCCAGAGTGGGGAGATACTCCGTTTCCCAAGCCTTGTGAGGGATTATACATATATGTATGTATATATATGGAGACTAAGGTGCGCCTGATCCCGGCTATAGTCTTTGCAATTACGTGCTATGCATCAGAGAGTTGGACAGTGAATAGGGTTGATAGAAAGATAATTGATGCCTTTGAGCTGTGGTGCTGGAGAAGAGTTTTGAATATACCATGGACTGCTAGGAGAGCAAACAGGTTTGTCCTGGAAAGGGTGAAGCTGGAAGGCTCTTTGGAGTCAAGGATTCTGAAGCTTCGTCTGACATATTTTGGGCACGTTGCAAGGAAGGACTGGTCCTTGGAGAGGGACATCACGTTTGGCAGAGTGGAGGGGCGGCAAAGGAGAGAAAGACCTTCGATGAGATGGATCGATTCTGTGACTGGAGTGGTGGGAGTAAGTGCGTTTGAGATGGCTAGGTTGGCACAGGATAGAAGAGCGTTTAGAGCTCTTGTACATAGGGTCGCTATGAGTCGCAAACGATTCGATGGCACATAACAACAACAACATCTATGTATACATACATATATGTATATACGTGTATATACGTATGTATGCATATATGTATATATGTGTATATGTATATACATAATACATATATATACACCCCCATGTTTATTGCTGCATTATTCACAATAGCAAAGAGACAGAAACAACTCAAGTGCCCATCAACAAATGAATGGATAGAAAAAGATGGTATATTCACACAATGAAATACTACACAGCACTAAAAAACAAGGTACTCACAAAATATTGTACAACATAGGTGACCCTGAAGCACATTATGCTGAGCGAAATATCTCAGTCATGAAAGGACAGATACCGCATAACACTGTTTTTATAAAACAGCACATAAATTGGAACTATACAGAGATTAGCATGGGTCCTGCACAAGGATGACACACAAATTCATGAAGTGTTCCATATTTTTTAAAATTAAAACAAACAAACAAAACTGGAACTGACATGGGGAGAAACTAAGAAAAGAGGGGAGAAATAATGAACACTGCATTGGAACACATGAAGGAAAGATTGTTTAAAGCGAATATATGATTAAACATTGTTTGTATGACAACAGTCCAGAATAAGAGGTGCATAGCAAAGTGGACTAGGGGAAGGGTGGGTAGGAGAGAGGAAATGATGCAACAATGAATAAATATTTTTTTCCAAAAGAGTGAACTCAGTGGGGTATAGGGTGGAAACTGTGCAATAAAGAGTGAATGAAAATCCAACTTTTCTGTAAACTTTTGTTAAACTTACAATTGGAAAAAAGTAACAAAAAAGTTCCTTGAAATAAATAAGAATATAATGTATAAAAATCTCTGGGATGCAATAAATGCTGTACTTAGAGGCCAGTTGATAGCAATAAGCAAACACTTTAAAAAAGGAGTAAATGAAACTACTTAACATCTCCAGCAAATAGAAAAAGAACAATAAGATAAACTACAGCTTCTAGAAGAAAGGAAATTATGAAGGGCTGAAATCAATGGGATAGAAAACAGAAAAACAATGAAACCATCAATAAGACCAAGGGATGTTTCGGTGTGGTTCTCTTTTTTTAAAAAAAAAGGTTTTATTTTTATAAAAAAAAAAAGGGGTTTTAAAAAAAAAATTTTTTTTTTTTTTTTTTTTTTTTTTTTTTTCAATTTCCGCCCCCCCCCCCCCCCGCCCTGCCAGCCTTTCCCACACTGCAACTCTTGTTCTGGATTGTTGTCATAAATAATAGATTCGTTTCAGACAGTTCTTCCCCTCTTTTGATCTAATGCAATATTCATTACCTATCCACTCTTTCCCCATTCTTTCCTCAGTCCTCCATTTCTGTGCTTTTTTATGACAGTGGTGTTAGGCAGTATTTGTCCTTTTGAGACTGAGATATTTCAGTTCGTATAATGTCTTCCAGGCTCCTTCATGTTGTATAATATTTTATGAACATTAAAACATTAGTTTGAACCCTCAGAGACTTTCCTTTTCTCCTCCCTCAACCCTTTACTGGCCCTCCCCATGAGTTAGGTTTGGGTAGAAACAACATTACCCATAAACTCCACATTTCCCAGATGGAGAATTGCTGCCAGCAGCTTACTGAGGTCCCAATTCTCGGAGTCAGAGAACATAAGAATCTTCATGGCTGAGCGGATGTGAGCATAGTCCTTGGCATCACTGAAGCCTTCACAGGAGCTGCAGTTGCCCTGAGGAATGGGGCACAGCAGCTTATTGGGGGCTCCACATAGCCTCATTGCTTTAACAACAAACCAGCAACCTCCTTTCCTGTTCTCTTAATTCTTGTGCCAAATATAAAAGAGTGTCATTAGGGGCATTCTTTGCCCACATACCCTCTAATCTATCCAAGGTCAGTAAGACAGAGCTACTTCAAGGATTAGTTAAAACTTCTGAAAACACTCTTCATAGGCACTAGATGATCCTGAAGAGGTCATATCTAGATTTAAACTAAAAAGAACCCAAAACAAAACAGCAAACAAAACCCAAACAACTTTACAAGTACTTTTAAAGATGGGGTTCATGATTTCTTTTTTTTAAATTTTTTTTAAAAACTTTTGTTTTTTTTATTTTATTATTTTTGTGTGCGTGTACCGTCAAATCAGATCTGACTGGTACAGGAGGAGATTGTCCCTCCTTCCCCGGCAGAGCATCTGGTGGGGGGGTTCATTATTTCTTAGACAAGTCTGCTGGGTTCTGCTACCAGCACAGTGACCTCTACTGTACTTGAACCTCCTCAGCCCATGTTCTAAAGCCTTTCAAGGAAAAAAATTCCAGTGCAGGGGTAAGAGTACAGGAGCCTGAGGTCCAAAAGTAATTGTCACTGGACAATTGGACTTACTGAATGTACTACTTGTTGGAAATTCCCAAATGTGTGAGCCAAGGGAACCCTGCAGGGAAAGCATCATCTTATCTAAGATGTCAGGCTGAGACCATAGAAGATGGGCAGGTAATCCAGAAATAGAAATGTTCTCCTAGAGGGGAAGAACAAAGTAGAGACAGGGCAGTCTACTGAAGATAGTGTAGGCAAGGCTGCTGGGAAGGGGTATCTGGGATAACAGGGGCAGGCTGGATTGAGGCTGTGGTCAGAACTTGAGCAGGATATGTTGGCGGGTCAGATCACAGAGGTGCCTGGAAACAATGTCAAGGAGCTTAGACTTGTATGCCTTCTAAGCAATGGGGGACATCAATAATTTTAACTAGAGATGTGACACAGTCAACCTGGGGTCTTATAGAGATCTCTTTGGTTGCAGAGTGGGCTCACTGAATATTCTAGTTGTTGGAAATTTCCAAATATGTGAGCCAATGGAACCCTGCAGGGAAAGTATCAGGAAACTACTGCAGGGGTCTAGGCAAGAAATAATGACCTTGAGGTGGACACAGGGCAAGGACTGTGTAGGAAAAATATTTCAAGGGCAGAACCAATTTTTATTTATCTATAAAGCCTGAACCAAGTGGCTAATTCACTCTACATTGTCCTAGACAATGGGATACAGCCAGAAATAAGAATAAAGCCTCTTATTTCAAGGGGTTCAGGCTTCAGGATCCATTTGGGGTTAGGTGATCAGATGTGAAGTCAAGGAAAGGTGGAATGCAGGTGACTTCCTGATGACACACAGGAGTGACTCAGTATTTTGCCTGGAAAGACCAAAAGAAGATTGTATTTGTGGGAAAAGAGAATGCGTTCAGTTTAGGGAGTTGGAGTAATATTCAGAAATAGGAAAGAAGGAATACCTTGATAAGCATAAGTTTCTGTAAATTGATATCAGTGACGGAGGGGTGGAGTGAGAACCTAAGGATCTGAAGAGAGTGGTTAGAGAAACATTTTTTGTCAGTTGAGTAGAACTGGCCTTTCTTCTGAGACCTGGTTGTCTTTCTGTTTTCCACTGAGAAGACAAGTAGAAGGGCATCATGGACAGGGAAGTTCTCACCATGGTCAGGTAGTGGTACTCAGAAGGCATTCCCAGGCACAGTAGCTTCTTCTCCTCAGCACTCATTCCCATCAGCATGTAGTAGAAGATATGGTAGTTCCGCTCCTTCTGGGACTGGAGGGAGGTGTCCAAAGAGATGATTATTAGCAATTCAAGGCTATGAAGCCTTAGTTCTGCCCCCTCAGCTCCTGGCCTAACAACAAGGTCTTTTGAGCTGTACCCTGGTTCTAACATTGGCCCAGGGAGAGGTTGGTTACGGCCCTTCTTGTGGGCTTCAAAGGCTGGTTTATCCTAACAACTAAGAACCAATATCCATCTTTCCTTGTAGATTCATCCCAGGTTGCTCACAGCCTGGAAGTCTTTGCTTTCAGTAACAAGAGAGTTAACGATGGCAGGATTCAAGTCAGAATCTTCTGATTCAGAATCCCATGCTTTTCAAGTCTGCCACAGACTTTCCTATTTTCTCTAATAATTCACTAGACGAACCTCACAGAGTTACCTAAGTTTCTGTTTTTAAAACACTTAAAATTAGTAAACAACATTTATTAATTCATTAACATTATAAAAAATCTCAAACAATTCCAATATATAGTATTAAAAGATGAGCCTTTCCCTTCAATCTGTTTCTCTCACTCTCCTCTCCTCCCAGCCTCTGACTCATAGTAACCCATGCACAACAGGATCAGACTGTTGTATTTTGTAGGGTTTTCATGGGCTAATTTTTTTGAAACAGATTGCCTGGCCCTTCTTCCTAGTCTATCTTACTCTGGAAGTTCCACTCAAACATGCTCAGTATCATAGCAACATGCAGGCATCCCTGATAAATAGGTGGTATATATGCATATAAAGACTGTTGACTGGGAATCAAACTCTAACATGGAAAGCAAGAATTCTACTACTGAATGCCAATACCTCTTATATTCTTCACTATAAATGCACCGTAATGTTTAATTACTCTGTAGATGAGAGTTCTGGTGACTTAGTTGCACTGCTAACTCAAAGGCACATGGTTTGACTCCACCAGCTACAAAAGAAGTATGGGCAATCACCTCCTGTGTAAATTTACTGCCTCTGAAAACCCACTTGAGGGTCACTTATGAGTCAGTTCAAATTCGGTAGTACACAACAACAAATGATCATGAATAGGACATATTTCTAACCAGTTTGTTAATTTCCCGTTAATTATAAGAGTTCATGGGTTCAAGTTCGTGGTCAGTAAATGATTGGTCGTTAAAATCTACTGAGCAGTACTATGGAAGAGAGACCTAGTAGTCTGCTTCCATAAAATCATAGCCAAATCCTTCATGTACTGCTGGTGAGATTGTAAGATGGTACAGCCACTCTGGAAGGCAATTTGACATTTCCTCAAAAAGCTGAACACAGAAATCTCATATGACTCAACTATTCCACTGCTTGAAATTATGCCCCAAGAAAATGAGAAGTGAGGTACAAACAGAGATTTGTACACCAATGTTCATAGCAGCTTTATTCACCATTGCAAGAACATGGAAACCAGCCCAAATGTCTAACCACAATCGATTGAATTAAGAAATTGTGGTACATTCACACAGTGCAGCACTCAGGAGCAATGATTTTGAAAGTTAGTACATAACTTGGGAGGGATTAGAGAGCATTATGCTGAGGGAACTAAGTCAGTCCTATAAGGATAAATATTGTATGAGACCATTATTGTAGAAACAGAAAGATTACTAGTAAAACATGTATGAGGCTTCAAATGGGGCGAAGGTGGGAAAAGAAAGGAAAGGATGAATGGGGGGAAATCATAGAGTTGCACAATTTGAGGGGGGGTGAAAAAGGGGTGAATAAAGAAAATAGGAAAAATCCAGCAGGGGTCTGGAGAGACTGGGTAATGATGAGCATAGTTCAATGGTGATTAATTTTTTTATTAAATTTTATTAATTTTAATGAACATTTACAGAGATTTGGGGTTTTTATTCATTCATTGTTGCACTATTTTCTCTACCCTGCTCCCCAGTTTGTTGTTCTTTTTTATCCCCCCCCCGAAAGTCTGTTTTAATTGTCCATTTGCCACAGTGCTTGTCAAAGCCAGTTCTGATTAATCTCCTTTGTCAGTGTGTGCTTTGCCGTTCCCTATCACTCCTCCCTGAGAGAGGGTGATTAATTTTATAAAACATAATGAATGAGAATGATTGTGTGAAACACAATGTTAATGAAGGATAGTGTGAAACACAATGTACACAACTTTGTAAGCAAACCAATATAAAATAAAAAAATTTAAAAAATAAAAAATCATGGCCATGAAAACTCTGTGGAACTGAATTCTGTTTCAATACATGGGTCATACAATAGAGTAAATTTCTATGTGATACCTATGAATTCATGAACTACTGTGTGAATTCTATGAATTCATGAAGTACTTTGTAAACACTGCAAGCTTCTAGAAATGGTAGAACTCAAAGTCAGGTGTTAGTATTGTGTGTCATCAAGTTGAGTATCACTAATTGTGACCCTGTGAACAACTGATCTGAACCGTGTTCTATCCTGTGCCATCCTCATTGTCTTTTTTTTTAATAATAAAGTATATGTGGAATTTATTAAATACCATTTATTATTAAACTTGAACTTGAAAATATAACCCATCAGCATTTATCAATTCTCTTATATTGTCTAATGTGTTCAGAATAGAAAATACAGTTAACCTTACACAGGATTTTGAAGCCCCTCCTAACTTTGGGCATGTGGCCAGAAGAGACATCATGCTCAGAAGGGTGCACAGACAGTGCAGGAGGGGAAGACCCTAGATGAGATGGATTGATACAGTGTCTGGGGTAATGGGGGTTGATGTGTTGGAATTAGTGAGACTGACTCAGGACAGTGAAAAGGGTTCAGAGCTGTTATACAGGGTCGCTATACATCACAGGAGACTCAACAGCATATAACAGCAATAACATACTATATTGATTGCTTTTTATTTAAGCCTCTTGTTTAGAGCCAACAAGACCTTGGGGAAGGCCTTTGTATTTTAAAAAATTGATTCTTATTATATTTTGGAGGAACATTCTTCTTAGTGGTACAGCACTCTTCTGTCAAAATGCTGTCCTGAGGTAAATTGGGGTTGCTGTGATGCTGAACCTTGCAAATGCCATAATGGTTACACATGGTAGACAGTGTTTGGTGGAGCTCCTAGTTTAAGACTTTTTAAGACCAATTTAGAAGCAGGAGTGGCATCCACTTCCTAAACAACATGGCTTCAGAAACTCTATGAACTTTGATAAATGTCACTATAGAAAGGCTTCAGGACTTTTGTTCATAGAATTACTATGAGTCATTCTCAACTTGAACACATCAACAACAAATTTACATACATGTTTGTAGTCTTTTAAATTAATATAGGTGTTTAATTGTAAAAGAAATTTATATTTTACTTTCTTAAAAGTATGGCTTCAGTGAAGTTCTTGTTCATTGTGTTAAACTTAATTTGAGTTATTTTCATATAAACAGCAAACTTTCCATAAATTCATGAAGGGCAAAGGCATGTGATTTGCACCTTCATCATCTTTGATATAGTTGAGATCATTGCTATAGTCATTATCAGTCTATTTTATTATGTCTCCCTTTCTTTCACTGACCTTCCATCTTTCCAAAGAATAGCTTCTCTTAACAGCATGCCCAAAATAATGTGCGATGAAGCCTCACCATTTTTGCCTCCAAGGAGAACACTGTCTGCACCTTCTCTAAGACACACCTATTTATAATTTTGTCAGTCCAAACTCAAAGGCGTCAGTTCTCTTTATGTCATCCTTATTCACTATCCAACTCTCAAGATACATAATAAATGATGAAAAAGATAATGGCTTCAATCAGGTGAACCTTAGTCTTAAAACTGACATCACTGTTCCTCAATACTTTGGAGAGGTCTCTGACAGCAAACTTTCCCAATGCAATACATCTTTTCATATTTTGCCTGCTGGTGTCAATGGTATTGATTGTGGATCCATTAAGTCATTAACAATTTCAATCTTTTCTTAGTCTGTCTGCTATTTGCCTGATGATGACAAATTTTGTCCTCTTGATATTGAGATGTAGTCTATAATGACGATTGTAGTCTGATTTTCTGCAGCAAGCATTCCAAGTCCTCACTTTCAGCAAGCAAGGCAGGTTGTTTATGAATCTTCCTTTGATCCTGAAGCCGCATTCTTCTTCATACAGTCCAGATTCTTGAATTATTTGTTCTTCATACAGACTGCATAGTTATGGATAAAGGATGCACATCTTTCTTGATTTTAAACCATGCAGTGTTGTCTTGCTGTTTGTACAACAGCTTCTTGGTCTAGGTATAGGTTTTGTGTGTGCATGATTAAATGTTCTGAGAGTCACATTCTTCTCAATGTTAAACATAGTTTGTTATGGTCCACACAGTCAAATGCCTTTGAATAGTCAATAAAACACAAATAGATATCCTTCTGGTATTCTCGGATTTCTGCCAAGATCCATCTGAAATCAGCAATGATATCTCTGGTGCCATGGCCTCTTCTAAATCTTTCATGAACTTCTGGATCCAGCTGGATTTTTTTGGATAATTTTCAGCAATATTTTGCTTGCATGCAATATAGTGATACTGTTTGATAATTTCTGTGTTCTGTCAGGTCACCTTTCTTGGGAATGGGAAGAGACACTTATTATATCTCTATGACCCTATGAGTCACAAGTGACTCCATGTCACATAACAACAACACCAACACTACCCCAGGGAAGCCACTTGATAGATCTAGACATATTTCTTAATTTAGAAAATGGAAATAATAACAATACAACAGAACCCACAAGCTTTGGTGCTTCTCATTGTTATGAAGATCAAATAAGACAGCACAGGAATAATGCCTGGCAACGGGCACCCAGTGTCTCTAATATGAACTTCTTTTTCTAGATTTTGATAGTGCCGTGATTTTTGTCCATCCTCACATACACAGAGCCCCAACACTTCTATTGGTATCCCTTCCCCTTTAAGGGAATTTCTGTATGTGTGTAGAAACTATTCCACTATACAATAACAAATTGTATTTCTTTACAAATGTCTCTTTGATGTTGAAGCCATATTTTGGGTTCCCTGCCATACCTGATTTGTGGGGCTAAAATAAAATGAAAATAGATGTTTCTTGTTAAAAATTATTAAGAATTTCAAGACAGCAACAGATTAAGCCCAGCAAATATAGGATACCTAGGCAACAGCACAGATAATAGCCTTAGAGGTGATCTGATTCCGTTGCACCTTATTCTTAACTACAGGGCCTTCAGAACATTGTTACTTAATTCTAACTCCACAAAAAGACTGAATGAGATTTGTGCCAGAAATACAAAGTTGGTTTAACATCCTCAAATAATTTAATAGAACATATTAATAGAATGAAAGCTAACCTGATGGGACATAGCCCTCCTTCAAATTGAGATTAATACAGGATTAAATACAAATTTAGTAGAGGTGAGGAATAGCAAGTATTAAAGAATGTCCAAAAAAATTATATTCAGAAAACTTCAAAAGAAATAAAATCCTATCATTAGTTTTCCTGGAATTCTAGTGGTGGTGGTGGTGGCGGTGGAATCATTTTTTTATTATCCAATTCAAGAGGTCTTTGGTACCTATCAGATTAAAGCTGGAGCTCTACAATGCATTACTAATTCCTATAGGATTTTGGAGATACTAGTGGGGAGAAGGATAGGCAGTGCCCTTCAAGCCTCTGACAACAGTACTGCCCCTCCAGAAGCAAGAGAAACTCTTCCTGGACAGTAAAGCTTCAAAGTAGGCCTCAGATATAGGTCCCTTACCACATGCAGAGAACTTACCTGATGGCAGACCCGGGACTTTTCCAGAAGAAATTGTTCAATCTGTGCACCTTCAATCACCCCACTAGAGCTGAAGTAGATGTCAATGTACTTTCCAAAGCGACTTGAATTGTCATTTCGAACTGTCTTAGCATTTCCAAAGGCTGTTGGGGAGTTGACAATACACATAATGAGGAGAAAATTTGTTTTTGGCAGGGCAAATTGGAAATATTTCTCAAAGAAGGAGAAAACACACCAGAATTTAAAGATGAATAGGGTTTCAGCAAACAGCTACAACAACTGAGGACATGTTGTGAGGAAGAGAAATCTACAGATGTAGATTTACATCCACATTTAGATTTACATATACAGCTGAAGCATAGGCAACAGGAGGAAAATAATGGAAGATAGAAATAATGAGTTCAATTTTTTAGCAAGAAATTGAAGGGGTTTGGAGGCTAGGAGGAGGAAGTTAAAAAAGGAGAAGCTTAGAGTTAAAATCCCTGAGACAATGATTACTATATGTGTCAGAAGGTGGTAATAAACTTTAGAAATTACAATCAGACAGAACACTGCTTAGTCCAAAGAAAAATAAACCAGGAAGGTCTAGCTTTAAAAAAGATCTGTTGTTGTTGTTGTTATGTGTCGTCAAGTCGTTTGCGACTCATAGCGACCCTATGTACAACAGCCCTAAACCGTGCTCTATCCTGTGCCAATCTCATTGCCTCTGACACACCCATCCCGATTACCCCAGTCACTGAATCAATCCACCTCATAGAGGGTCTTCCCCTCCTGTGCTGTCCCTCTACTTTACCCAGCATGATGTCCCTCTCTAAAGACCTGTCTGTCCCTACAACGTGTCCAAATTATGTCAGATGAAGCTCCAGAACCCTTGCCTCCAAGGAGCAGCCTGGTTTAACCCTCTCTAGGATGAATCTGTTTGTTTTCTTGGCAGTCCATGGTACATTCAATACTCTTCTCCAGCACCACAGCTCAAAGGCGTCAATTCTCCTTCTATCCTCCCTAGTCATTGTCCAACTCTCTGATGCATAACAAGTGATTGCAAAAACCATGGCTTGTATCAGGCAGACCTTAGTCTCCAGAGAGACACCGCAAGACATCTCTAGCTTTAAAATGATGAGTAGTGTCCATTGTTTGTTGTTGTTATGTGCCGTCGAGTTGCTTTTAACTCATAGTGACCTTATGTACAAGAGCCTTAAATCCTGCTCTATCCTGTGCCAACCTCACTGTCTCTGACACACTTACTTCCATTACCCCAGTCACTGAGTCGATCCATCTCATCAAGGTGTTTCTCTCTTGCGTTGTCCCTCCACCCTCTCAAACATGATGCCCCTCTCTAAGGACTGGTCCCTCCTCTCAACATGCCCAAAGAATGTCAGATGAAGCTTCAGAATCCTTGCCTCCAAGGAGCAGCCTGGTTTCATCATTTCTAGGACAAACCTGTTTGTTATCCTAGCAGTCCATGGTATATTTAATGCCCTTCTCTAGCACCACAGCTCAAAGGCATCAATTCTCTATCATCCCTCGTCACTGTTTAGCTCTCTGACGCATAGCATGCAACTGCAAAGACTATGGCCTGGATCAGGTGCACATTAGTCTCCAGCCTGACATCATTGCTCTTCAGTACTCTGGGGAGGTCCTTGACAGCAGACTTTCCCAATGCAATTAATCTCTTGATTTCCTGGCTGCTGGTACCAAGAGTGTTTACTGTGGAGCCTAGCAAACTAAAACTGTTAACTATCTAAATCTCTTCACCATCCATAATGATGCTGCCAATTGGCCCAGTGGAGAAATATTTGTTTTCTTGATGTTGAGCTTCAATCCATATTGAACCTTCGGTCCTTGACCTTCTGCAGCAAGTGCTTCAGGTCCTCCTTAATTTCAGCAAGTAGGGTTGTGTCATCTGCATAACGCAAGTTGTTGATGAATATTCCTCTGGTCCTGATGTTACATTCCTCCTCATACAGCCCAGTGTCCCAGATGATTTGCTCTGCATGCGGACTGAAAAGATATGGAGACAGAATATATCCCTGGCGGACACCCTTCCTGATTTTGAAGCATGCATTATCTCCTTGCTCTGTTCTGACGACTGCCTCTTGGTTCAATATAGGTATTGCATAAGCATGTCTGTTGATGTGTCACTCCAGTCATTTTTGGATAATTTTCAGCAGAATATTGCTTGCATGTGATACTAATGATATTGTTTGATAATTTCCACACTCTGTCAGGTCACAAGTGTCCATTAGGTACACTAATTATACCTAATGTATGAGGTTAGGACTCTGGCAGCTTGGTCTACAGAAATTTGCTATGCTAACCCCAAAGCAGCACCTCTATGGTGGTTCAAATTCAACAATGGAGCCATGGGAGAAAGATGATCAGTTCCATCTCATAAGACTTTTAACCTCCAAAAACTCCTTTAGAGGGTCAGCTATGAGTTGGTTCCAACTTGACCAGCAATGAGTCTGATTTTGAGTTTGCATAGAGTTAGAATACAAACTACATTCTTCATGTAAAATTCGTATCACTACTATTTTTTAATTTTTAAAAATGTATTTATTTTTATTTTATTATTATTTTTTGTGTGTGTACCATCAAAGTGGATCTGACTGGTACAGAAGGAGATCACCCCTCCTTCTCCAGCAGAGCATCTGGTGGATTCAAACTGTGCGCCTCTGGGATTGCAGTGCAGCTTCTTGCCACTAGGCCACCAGAGCTCCCTTCACTTGTCTTGAATAAATATGAGTTTGAAAACAAACAATTAGTCCATATGTTAGGTCATAAAATAAACTTCAATAAATTTAAAAGAATAAAATATATTCTCAAATCACAGCTATATGAAATAAAAAAAAATCAAATAATGGAAAATAATTTTAAAAACTCACAAATACCTTTTAGAGAAGAAGAACAAAGCTAGGGGGTCAGGGTGTGGCTCATACATCCCTATTTTAAAAATTATTACAAAGCCACATCAAGAAAAAAAAATTTGGTACCATCACAGCTATCTGTATAGACATTTCTTCACAAAAGACAAACAAAAGGTCAATAAGCACACAGAAAGATGCTTGACCCAATAAGTAATCAGGGAAATATAAATGCAAACCAAAAGACGATATCTGTGCAAAAGATGGAAACAACTCACATGTCCATTAACTGTGCATATCTATTTAATGGAATATTAATTTGTCACAAAAAGAAATGATATACTGATGAATGTACAACATGGAGAAACCTTGAAAACAGAATGCTAAATGAAAAAATTCAGTCACAATAGACTATATATTATATGATTCCACTAATATATGGTGTTCAAAATAAGAACATCTGTGTCATTGTTGTTGTTATGTGCCATCGAGTCATTTGCAACTCATGGTGACCCTATGTACAACAGCCCTAAACCCTGCTCTATCCTGTACCAATCGCACTGTCTCCAACACACCCATCCTGATTACCCCAGTCACTGAATCAATCCACCTCATAGAGGGTCTTCCCCTCCTGCGCTGTCCCTTCACCCTCCCAAGTATGATATCCCTTTACAAGGACCTGTCTCTCCTTACAACATGTCCAAAATGTGTCAGACGAAGCCCCAGAATCCTTGCCTCCAAGGAGCAGCCTGGTTTAACCCTCTCTAGGATGAATCTGTTTTCTTAGCAGTCCATGGTACACTCAATACTCTTCTCCAGCACCATAGCTCAAAGGCATCAATTCTCCTTCTATCCTCCCTAGTCATTGTCCAATTCTCTGACGCATAACAAGTGATTGCAAAGACCATGGCCTGTATTAGACGTACCTTAGTCTCCAGAGTGACACCATTGCTCTTTAGTAATTTGGAGAGGTCCCTAACAGCAGAATTTCCCATCGCAATACGTCTTTTAATTTCCTGGCTACTGGTGCCAAGAGTGTTGACTGTGGACTCAAGTAAACGAAAGCTGTGAACAATCTCAATCTCTTCACCATCCATCCTGAAGCTGCCAATTGGTCCAGTGGTGAGAATCTTCGTCTTATTGATACTGAACCTCAATCCATATTGAAGGCTACAGTCCTTGACCCTCTGCAGCAAGTGCATGAGGTCCTCCTCAGTTTCAGAGAGCTGGTTGTGTCATCTGCATAATGCAGATTGTTGATAGATCTTCCACCAGTCCTGACCCCACATTTCTCCTCTTAAAGTTTAGCCTCCCAGATAATCTGTTCTATAGAAACTGTAAATGGATTAGTGGTCTCTAGGAATAAGGAGAGCAGGTAGAGGTAACCAAGATGGAAAGCAGGGGAAGCTGTATATGAATATGCTAAAAATAATTTTACACTTTAAATCACTGAATTGGTTTGTGAATTATATCTCAAAAAATGTGAGAGCTCTGGTGGCCTAGTGGCAAGAAGGTACACTGCAATCACTGATGCATGTGGTTCAAATCCACCAGATGCTCTGCGAGAGAAGGAGGGGCAACCTCCTCCTGTACCAGTCAGATCTAAGTTGATGGTATATGTACAAAAATGTAATAATTTTTTTAAAAAGAGTTAACAAAAAATATTAAAGTGTGAAATAATTTTATATTAACCAAAACCACACTGATTGCTAACAAGTTACATGTTTCTAATAATAACTTAGAGGCTAAAAAAAAAATACATACTATTCTACTGAAAAATAAATGTGGGCTGGTCACAAATAATTTGGGACTAATAAATCTGCTACAAAAAAACCAACACACCCAATAATAAACAAACCCCAAACAAAACACCAGTGTTCTTAAAAGTTAAGGGAGAAATATCAGGCTAGAACTGCAATTGTGTCATTGGTTGACGTTCCAGGGGTCCACTAGTTTTGGTTATGCAGCTCAACAGAGAATGAGAGTGGAGTGACCAGGCCTGGTCCTTTTGTGCTAAGGCTCCTCTACTTGGTAGCATTTGTTCCTTTGCTCCCTGTTGGATTAACCAAGACTAACTCCTGGGCCAGTCCTACTTTCTCTTAGCACCAGTTTCCCAGATTACCCAAACTGACATACTTCACATTTCCCAAATTTCTTTTCTCTCAGAGCCTTTTTGAAAAGGCGTGTTTATTCGCTGCCAGCCCCCGTCCCCTTTGTAGGAAACACCCTTAGAGGAAGCTTAAAATCATCAGTTTTTCTATTCCATGATGTCTGGGAGCTTCTGCAGACACTCAGCCTCAACTTCCTTATCTTTCAGGCCCTGAGGAATTCAAAAGTATGGCTGAAAGTTTCTGTTTTATTTTTTGTTGTTCCTCATTCTACTTCTCCTATAGCCACCTCCCAGAGAGAAGACCCTACTGTTACAGTTTTGAGGATGCCTCTTACCTTCCAGGATGGGATTGGCCTCAAGGACTTGCTGCTCTATCCAGGAATGCTGGCCACTGACTGTGGCCAGGAACTGCAGGATGAGCTTAGTAGTCTCTGTTTTCCCAGCCCCAGATTCACCACTGCAAAGATACACAGGAGTTAACGTAAGTCTGTCTCCAGAACTTGGCACCTTCAAAACACACCAATGCCCACTCTAGCAAGTCTAAAATCATGAAGTCTTCTCCATGTGTGGAAATCCACCAAATATTCTCAGAAGGTCCGTAGGGATTCCAACTCTGTGTGAGTTATTGGTATGTTGTCTTTTCTTCTCTGTTTCTTTTCTTTTGTAACTGCTTATAGGCAAAACCAGATAATGGTTATGTGCTGTCAGCACAGGATCAGCACAGTGCCCAGTAAGTTGAACCAGCAGGACCATGAAATAACTATGACTTATCTCTATAAAAAGCTATGTCTATTGGGCCAAAAGGATACTGCAACAGTCCTTTTGGGAATTAAATTGACTTAGGTGTGACACTTTAAGAATTATTCCTGCCCTTTAGCTTAAGTAAAGAATAATAAATTCAGAAAAAATCTTCTTCCCCCCCCCCCTTCCTCCTCCAGCTTTATTGGATAGTTTAAAATTACATTTCTATTTTCTAGGACTTCAGTTGCTTTTTCCATCTGACTTTTAAAAACTGATTACAGCAAATGAAACACAGTTGTCTTAAGTGATGTAGTATACAAAAATAACATCTTGTTTTCTGTGAAAATGCATTTCTCTGCAATTCCTGAATAGCTCCAAATTACACTAACTCTGAGCATCGTTATTTACTCTGGGTTTTAGTCTGGAAAAAAAAATGTTCTAAACCTTTGCCATCACCATGTGTATATCCAGCATCAACTCTGTGATGAAGGTGTTCCTGCTTAGGTTTTTATTTTGGTTTCTCTCTCCACAATCATTAGCGTGCATGTTTGTCTTTGTTTACTCCCACTCAACTGTATGTTCTATGTAGGGCCTGATACAGATGTTACTTGGTGTTATTTAATAGCTACTGAGGTCAGACAATCCAAGGCCACCATTATTCTAAAATTAAAGTTACTTACAGAAGTTCATAAACTTCCAAATTGTTTTGTGTCCTACATGGGAACATTTCAAGAAACCCAGAATGGGCATACTGGTCTGACTCAACTCTTCCCATTCATTAATCCCTATTCACCAGTGTCACAGAAAGGGGGTTCTTTAACAAAGCATTACACATAACACCTCTACCAAACTAAACAAACTTTTTTTGTAGTTAAATGCAGGAAGTTGGTGCTTTTTCCACCCCTTTCCTCCTTTTACACTGCAAGTAAAGCTCACTGGCCTGGGAATAGCCTCTATCTGCCAACCTTTGGCCAGTGAAGAGTATTCAGAGAAAAGAATACAACCATCAATCAGAAAAAGGAGGGGCGACAAAGGAGAATAATTAAGCTGTAGCCTCAATTGTGCATTCCCGTGCAAGGTGCCCTGACTCTCCACAGCGGTAACAGTTGACTTCACTTGTCTTGCTGTAGTTGATGGCTACATGACCAGTTTCACCACACCTATAACACTTCACTTTGGTACAGTCTTTTTGAATGTGTCCAAATTCTCCACAAGAATAGCACTTCTGCCCATCAGCATGGTCACAATCATGAGCCAGATGGCCTGGTTTGCCACAGTTGTAACAGCACTGCTCTCGCTCTCTCTTGGGCTCCTTGCAGTCCTTGACAATGTGACCGCCTCTACTGCAGTTATAGCAGGCATCCTCCTGAAGATCACAATCCTTGGCAAGATGACCAGACTCACCACAGTGGTAACAGATGTCTGGAAGAGATGAGGAAACAAACTGGAAACCTCTATCCGAGGTAAAACCACCTCTGCCACGGCTTCTCATTCCACGACCACGGCCTCCTCCAGTAGGGCATTCCTGGGCCCAGTGGCCAGAGCGCCCACACTTGAAGCACTCATTGCTGCTCATGGCTGTAGTTAAGTCTTCTTCAGCACTTAGAGGAGCCCAGAGAGACGAAGAATAGGACGCAGTTCAGGGGAAGGCAACTCACAAGACAGCCGCTGTTTATCTTCAGGGTCCCTGCCTGCGCCACACGCGGGTCTGCTAGAAAAAAGTTTTCTTGCAAGGCTTTTCAATACCTTAAAAGCATCACTTGTCATTATAGTTATGGAAAGGTTCAACTAATCTCAACGAGGGAAATAAATTAGAGTGTAAGAAGCCAGAGAGCATTACACAGTCAGTGAGAGCACTTCTATCTAGAGACTAGTAGTCATTGTGACAGTGGACACACGGGGGGGGGGGGGGGGGTTCAGCACCTAAGCAATTACACAGAGGTGGGGATAGGACAGGCGAATTTTCTTAGAAAAATATCCAACAATTTTTCTGAGGATATTTTCTGGAAAATCTTGAAAACATTTATAAGAAATAGATATTAATTCCATAATTGTGAGACAAAAATTAGTTGTTTTAAAATGACTAGAGAGTTTAATTCATTTAAAAAAATACATATCTGGTGCATAGCGTGCCCTTAGGTTGACAGTTATTATTATTTTTACTAGGGCTTAAAACCACTTTTAAAAAATATTTTTAAATTGTGATTTTAAAAAAAGTTTAGAGAAAGGTTGGGTTTGTTTTCATTCATTCATTCTTGCACATTTTTCTCCATTTCCCTTGCTTCCCCTTCATTCAGTCCATTTTACAATGTTCCTCTTGTTCCAGATTGTTGTCATACGTAGAATGCCTACTCATTTATTCTTTTTGGACAGTTCTTCCCTTATCTGTTCTAATGCAGTGTTCAGTCTTTCACCATACCCTGCCCAACTCCTCCATGTCTGTCCTATTTTATAACATTGATATTATGTAGTATTTATCCTTTTGTGGCTGAGCTATTTCAATTTGCACAATGTCCTCATGATTCCTCCATGTTGTGTAATGTTCTACTATTTCAATGTTTTTCAGTGCTGCATAGTATTCCAGTATGTGGATGTACCATAAGGTTTTTGGGTTTTGGTTTTGTTTTTTTTTAATCCATTTGTTTATTGATGGGCACTTGAGCCACAAGTCAAATAGATGTATACACATCCATGCTTATTGCTGTATTATTCATACTAGTAAAGAGATGGAAACAGGCTTACTAATGTTGTATAATGTTTTAGGAGTTAATTGGTTTTCAATGCTGCATAATATTCCTTTGTGTACCATAGTTTTTCTGTCTATTCATTTTTGATAGGCAATTGGATTGCTATTGTAAATAATGCAGCAATAAACATGGATATGAATACATCTGAGTTATGGTTCTGGTTTCTTTTGAGCATATTTCCAGTAGTGGAATTTGTGAAATTCCACTGTGACCCTGCTGGGTCAAATGGTATTTCTATTTCCAACTTTTTGAGAAAGTGCCAGACCACATTTCAAAGTGGTTGTATCATTTTACATTGCCACCAGCAGTGAATAAGTGTTCAATCTCTCCACAACCTCACCAGAATTTGTTGTTTGCTTCCCTGTTTAACTTTGCTATTGTTGCTGGAGTAACATTGTTGTTGTTGTTGTTATGTGCCGTCGAGTCACCTGTGACTCATAGTGACCCTATGACTGGCTGAAGTTGGGTGCCTCACAGGACACCCACCAGACCCCACAGACCCACCCTATCTTCCCAGGTAATAGGAGACGCCAGAAGCAAGTGACATCCGTTCCGGCCCGAGGGCCTACGGCCCTTGGGCCAAGAAAAACCTATCTACACAGCAATTCTACAGGATGCATCACCTTTGACCGATAAATATTGCGACTAAACTTCAGAGACACTGATCCCAACATAAGGAACTACCATCAGCTGATGTGTTTGAAATCACAAAAGCCATGGAAGCTTCATATATATGGAGTAACATAGTGGTTTTAATTTGCATCTCTCTGATTGCTAGGGATTTTTGGACATTTCTTTATGTGCTTGTTTGCCTTCTGAATGTCTTCTTTGGTGAAGTGTCTATTCATATCCTGTGCCTATTTTGTGATTGAATTGTTATTTTTAACTCATTGAGGTGCTGGAATATTCCATAAATTTTAGATATAAGTCTTCTGTCCTACAGAGGGTGAAACCAAGTCTCTCCTTGGAGCCTAAGATTTTGAAGCTCTGTCTCACATACTTTGGGCATGTGGCCAGGAGAGACCATTCCTTGGAGAAGGACAACATTCTCAGAAGGGTGGACAGACAGCACAGGAGAGTAATACCCCAGATGAGATGGACTGTTACAGTAAATGGGGCAACGAGGATTGGTGTGTTGGAATTAGTGAGACTGGCTCAGGACAGGGAAGGTTTCAGAGCTGCTGTACATAGGGTTGCTATAAGTCACAGGTGACTCAACAAACTCAACAGCACATAACAACAACATATTATATTGGGGGTTTTTTATGTATTTGAGTCTATTGTTTAAAGTCAAGAAGACCTCAGGGAGGACCTTTGAATTTAAAAGTCAGTTGTTATTACATTTTGGATGTACAGCACTCTTCTGTCAATATGCTGTACTGAGGTAACTTGGGGTTGCTGTGATGCTGAACCTTAGCCATTATGGTGTCAAATACCAGAATAGTTTCGCATGGTGGACTGTGTTTGGTGGAGCTCCCAGTTCAAGACAGGTTTAGAAACAGGAGTGGCATCCACTTCCTAAACAACATGCCTCTAGAAAGTCTATCAACTTTGAGAAACAATGATAGTTATAAAAAGGCTTCAGGTCTTTTGTTCATAGGGTCACTACATGTTGTGTTCAACTCAACGGCAATCAACAATGCAACAACATCATATATATTATTGAAAAAAATTTTTTTCCAGTCTGTGGATTTCCTTTCTACCCTGTTGGAGAAGTTTTTGGATGTGCATAGGTATTTAATTCTTATAAGTTCCCATTCACCTATTTTATCCTCTCCCAGTTGTAGATTTTTCAGGATGCTTGGAAGACTATTTATGTTGTAGATTAGGACTTCTAGAGTTCTTCCAACCTTTTCTTTAATGAAGTTTATGGTATTTGGTTTTACTCCCAGGTCTCTGATATGCCTTGAGTTGGTTTTTGTGTATGGTGTGAGGTGTGGGTCTTGTTTAAGTTTTCTACAGATTTCCCCCCCAATTTTGCCAGTACCATTTATTGAAGAGTCTGTCATTCCTCCACTTAACTGATTTTATCTCTTTGTAAAAAATGAATTGACCATGGGTATTTGAGCTAATTTATGGAAAAACACTATTTTTAATAACTTGTTTTGTTCATATGGAACAGTTCAGTCATTACAAAGCAGGCTCAAATAAGTAACCCACAAATAAGCAGCATCATTGATTTAGAAACACAGTCTCAGGCCTCACTCAGATCTGCTAGATCAGCTCTTTGACTAATACTCCAGCAGATTCCTCTGTTTTTTAACATTTATATCATGAAAGTCTACATTTCAGTAAACCAATTTCAGCTCCTGACTGGGTAAAGAAGAAAATAGAGGGTGGACCTGGCAAGTCTTTGGAGGAGAGGCAGGACCCATATGGGAAGGAGTACATCTCTTCTGGGTCAGGTCACCTCGGCTATTGCCTTTGTCTTCATCTGAGACTGGCCTTGGGACTCTTTGGGGATGATACTTGACCTGTTCTATCCCTACATCCTCAAGGGTATATTCTGGACCTTATTTCTAAAGAAACTTCTTTACCTCACCATTCCTGCACTCTTCCATTTGTGTCTCAATAGTCACTTACTGAGGACTGGGGAAGTACAGGCTCTGGGGATATAATGAAAAAACAAAACACCAGGTACAGGAAGAAAGAAGAAAGGCTATTGTACCACAATTGTGACAGGGAAGGATTTCAAAGCAGGAAGCAGAAGACAACAGAAACCACAAGCTTTGGTGCTTCTTCTGGGATGTTTCCCTTAAATAAAGTCAGTTAAAGCCACTTGCCCTCCTCTGGTCAACTCAAATTCATGGTGAACCCATGTGTGGCAGAGGAGAACAGTGTTCCGTGGTGTTTTCAATGACTACCTTTCTGGGAGTAAGTGTCCGGAACTTTCTTCGGAGGTGCCTCTGGATGGAATAAAATTGCCAGCATTTTGACTAGCATTTGAGCACACTACAAACTGTGCCCTCCAGCTCTGAATCATAACAGTGTTGCAGGCATGCTGGTAGTGTGACACTTAGAGAAAGAATTTTCATGAACTTCTGGTGGCTTGAATCTACCAGACACTCTTTGATGGAGAAAGAGGGACTATGTAATTTATGGCCTTGAAAAGCCAATGGAGAGTCAGTCGATTCTAATTCAATGGCAGTGAGGTTTTTACAAAACACCTAGAGGCAATACCTGGGTGAATCTCTTCTTCTCCCCCATCCCAACTCACCTGATAATGCAGCACTGGTCTTTCTTGTTCTTCTTCATGTTGAAGTAGCAACAGTTGGCAATGGCAAAGACATGGGGAGGCAGCTCACCCACATGGCGGTTGTAATATAGCTGTACCTGCTCCCAGGTGTAGAGGGGCAACACCTGGAATGGGTTCACTGCCACCAGGATGGAGCCAGTGTATGTCTGCAAAGGAAGGAGATATTAATGCCATGCCCTGGGTATAGTTTCAGACAGTCTCCTTCACCCATGAGGGCCACACATTCTGGCAGGTGGTGGCTCTTTTTTTTATGTGGGAACTTTGAGAAAGTCACTCATGTGCTCAGACTATTCATCAAGAAAGCTAGAAGTGTCATCTAGAATGGGTAGGTACATTCACAGAAAGATTAACTGAGGTCATCTTGTCACACTGTGCATGGCACTTAGACAACCAGAACGAATCCTTGGCTGTTGCACACACAACTCCATGGAGGTCAGTGACCAGTGGCTCTTCTTGTTGGAAAAAGCCCACCGGGATGTCCCAACCTGCTTCTCCCAGTTTGCCTTTCTCAGGGTGAGTCAGGGACAGCAACCTCAGCAATTCACTTGATTGCTTGAGTCTTGGTTTTTACATTTTAAGAATGGAGAAGATGATTTTTCTGATTTTAAGAGGAATCAGATAAAATAATTCATCATAATTTGGAAAGTACTGGATATGTCTCGAAAACCCATTGCCATTGAGTAAGAACTGACTACTAGCTGACTCACTAGAGAGTTTGCAGAGGCTGTAAATTACATTTGTGGGGATCACCCACTTTTGTCCTGTGCAGCTGTTGGTATTAGAGAGGAGCTACCAGTGCCAGAGAGGAGATGCCAGGGTGTCAGCAGCACAACTCTCTGAGGATTACTGTGTAGATGCTTATAGTATAATCATTTATCACATTGTTTTTATCAATTTCAGGAGCTCAAGCTCACATTCAGCCAGAGCAGACTCATAGTTTGGGGCCTGCTCTTATAGGCTTCCCATATACCCTCTCCTCTGTCCAGGAGTTTCTAGCTTCCTCCTTGAATATCTGAGCAACACTGATATACCCAACAGAGCTCTGGAGAATTCCCCATTCTACCGCTTCTTCCCCACAGTATCCACAGAGCTTACTCTCTCACATTTCCCTGTCCTTTACCTCCCCTCCACTCCAGCTTTGGAGCTGCTGAGAGCAGCTGTCCTGGACACCCTAGGATTGTGTTCCATTTACTGCCTTAGGAAGTATACTGGGAGTGAGTAGATATCAGTGTTGAGAAACTCTGCTCCTAGAGAAACATGAATTGTAACACAGCTTAGAATCTCAGGTTAGGGAAATTGTCCATGCATTCCTGAGCTTTGGGGAAAAGGGTCCTGTCTACCCTCATCATCTTCCCTCTGTGAGCTGTGACACTGAGTAATCATGATGGCTGTAAGATTCTGGCCTTTACAGGACACAGATCACAGGAGGATAGCAGTCTGGTGACTGTCTGCAAAATACCTAGGAATGGGGCAAGTGAAAGACTGTGTCCACTTTGATAGTTTCTGGGACCTACTCAAATCTTCCTACTCAGTGGAAAAGAAGGCCCTGTTAGTACCTTGGTACTTAATGCATGGAGACATTGTACTACAAACAGCACCCTCCCTTCTTCCATTTTCCAGGAAGGGCAGTCCTATTTTGAACAGGCTGAAGCTCTGTTACAGCCAGGATGCCAACCCAGTCCCCTTCAGATGGGACTCCTGTAGCCATGAGAACATGGAGGACAGGGTCCAAGCCTCTATGGCTTCATTCCCTGGCAGTAGACAAGACCACTGCTTCTAGCAGGAAGGATGGGGGGGAAAACCCCAAGGAACAGAACTCCTGACACTGGGAAAAAACAGTGGAAAAGAACTCCCGACTTACATAGATCTTGTGCTGCTGGTAGCGAATAAGGAGGTTGTGCACCATGCCTGCCTCATTCAGGTCCCCCAGGCGGATCATGTCATCCACACCATGTGCTGAGTTAGGGTGCATGGGGCTGAGGCTTCCAAAGTCCTCTGCACAGATCCAGTGTTCCTGGAATGAAAGTTAGAAAAGCACAGACTTGGAGAAAGGGCACCACATGCCTAACTAGCCGCATCTTCTCATCCAAGTTTTCAATAGTAAGATGATGCATACGGTTACAGCCTCAGTTATCCTGGGACTAGGTGGAGGTCAGCCTTCATCTAGTTTATCTGAGGTTATAGTCATAAGAAATCTGTGTAGAGATCAGATCATCTGTGGTTGCAGTCAGGCCATCTTTGAGGGCCTGGAGCTGGTGAGAATTTGGGGTAGGGGTGAAACTCAAGCCAAGCTTAGAAGATTTTCCAGCTTCAACAAGGCTGTATCAGGGGTTAGTTTGAAGCTGGGACCTCAAAAGTTGTTGGAGAAAGTATGTGAGTAAAAGTATTTAAAAACAGGACAACATCATACAAACAGAGACAATATTATTAATTTTTCAAACAGATAACTGGATTCTGTACTATGAAGTGCACAGAATCTTTTCTTTGGAGGTCAAGTGTCCATGTGCTCAGTAGTGCTCAATTTGGTAAAAACAGCTGCTGGAGCGTTATTCACAACAGAAAGAAAATGGAAACAACCCAAATACCTATCAAGAAGTGAATGGATTGAGAAATTGTGATACATTCACACAATGGAGCACTATATAGCACCAAGGGAATAATGATTTCATAAAATATCATATAAAATGGGAGACTCTAGAAAGCATTATGCTGAGTGAAAGAACTCACTCACAAAAGGACAACTATTGTATAAGTCCATTATTGTAAAAACAGAAGGATAACAAAGCAAGATGTGTATAAATGTTCAAAAGGGAGAGGGGGAAAGGAGAAGAAGGGAAAGAGGAAGGTGGGAAATCACTAGGACACAGGTTAGTGTGGGCAGATGGCGGTGTGAAGGAATAGGAAAGACTCAATGGAGACTTGAAAAGATGGTGATAATAGGCATAGATCAATTGTAATTATATAAAAGAAAATGTGGAGGAAAGATTGTATAAAACACAATGAACATGAAGAATTGTATGCAAACCAATTAAAAATATCAGGGGAAAAGTTCAGAGCAGCTGCTTTTAATAAGTCAAGCCACCAATGAAAGCTGACTAGCAAGACCTCACTCTCATTTCCTGAACCCACCTGCTGCCCCTCAGACTGCCTGCTGAGCTTGCCCTGCTTTTGGATGCAAATCTTCAAGGTCAAGACAGATATCTGGCAATTCCTCTTACTACTTCCAGGTTCCAAACTCTCACCTGTGCTGCTTTATTGAAGCACCTTATTGGTTCTGTGCCATTGAGTCTAAACTGGACCCATGGCTGACCAATGAGTTTTCAGAGGCATAGGAAATTACACATCTTTCTCCTGTGGGGCAGCTGTGGATTCAAAACATCTGCTTCTGGGTTGGCAGCTCAACTCCTTGTCATGAGGCTACAAGAACTCAGAACCCTTCTTTCACATACTCTTGCTAACCCCTGTGCTTTTCCTCACATACCCTTTCCTCTTGCATTTCTCATCCTCTAGCTCACTAAATACTTAGCAAACCAGCCTTTGCTACGATTGTTTCAGCCTCTGCGCCTTCTCCCTCCTCTTATTGTTTCCATGACTGAGAGCTTAATCTTCACTTTTTCATGTAGAAACAAGTGCTCAGACAGATGGAAAGTGTTCACCAAGGAAGGAATGCCCTGGGCTGAGTCTGTCCTGCCTAAAAGTCCCTATGGGGTTTTGGTACTCCTGGGTTTGGGAGCAGTGCAGAGAAGGGTTAAAGGAAATACATGGATGACAAAGAGGATAGAGCTTCACAATAGTGCTGGGTATCACTGACCTTCCCCTCATCATCTTCCACCAAGACCTTGCCTGACTCTGTTTCTTTGATGATGCCCCCAATGGCTACAGTGGTCTCATTTGCAGAGGGAGGGTCCAGCCATACATGGTCGCCCTAGAGAACAGAGAAAAAAACAGTTGTATGATGCCTATTCTATCTTTCCCTTCCTAGTCAAAACTTTCCTCTCCTAAATTTTGCCATTTTGTACAAGAACTCCCAGGGTAGCTGGTTTTCAATCTTGCACCACATAACACAGATGACCCTGGAGGAATTATGATAAATGAAATAAGTCAGATATAAAAAAAATATTATATGCTAAGGAAAAGTTTATAAACAGAACAAAACATTTGATGGTTACCCGGGATGGGAGGGGAAAGAAAGAAGAAGAAAAATCAGTAATTTGATAAAATTTATTCATTGCCATCAAATCAGATCTGACTCACAGTTCACCATGCAGTGAGTTTTCTGTGGCTGTACGATGCACAGGAGGAGATTGCCCATCTTTTCCCTCAAGAGCAGCTGATGGATTTGAACCTCACACTTTTGGATTGGCAGCATAACTCTCTACTCATAGGTCACCAGAACACATATTTGTTTGGGTGAAGGGAGTGACAATATAAAATAAAGGACAATTAGAATAATTTCACTAAAGAAAAAGAAGACACAGAGATATGCAAAGGTTATAGAAAGTTAGCTATTACATATACAAGTCTATATTACCACTAGTTTCAAACATTGACTTACACGTGGACAAACATTAACACAAGATGACCAAATATGAGTGAGTGAAAGGTACTACACCATGATCAGGCATAGATTTGGTAGAAGAAAGTTTAACTTAAATATTTGTGTTGCATGCTGCAAATATATCCACATATATAGTAAAGTCAACAGAGGATAGTACTGTGTAAACTTCTTGACCAAAACCAAATACCTTGAGAGAATGTCATTGGTCATTGCCTAAGGATCACAATCCAAAAGGACACTCAAGTCAAAGTAGTGCAACACAGTCTCCAAAGACAATATTCTATCCCTCACACTGGTCAGTAGTGGCTGGGGCTTTTGAGCGACTCCATGACTGAGTAAAGAACAGTGAAAAAAGTCAGTTAGGCACTCTTCTTCCTGCTGAGCCAAGGCACGCAGAGCATGGGTCCTGGGCGAGGCAGGGTCATTGGGATGAGGTCTGTAGGTTCTCTCCTGAGTGATGGAGTCACAGAGAAAGAGTACCTGGCTGGGGTATCCATGTGGTGCAGAACTTCCCTGTTCTTTTCTAGTCTCCTAATTAGGGAGCTTGGAATCTGGGTCTCAGGATGAATGGGGTTATTGGGATGCAGGCTCCAGGCCCTCTCCTTGCTACTCTACTCATCTTTCTAAGATGACAGGTATATGACCTCTTATCTGCTGGATTTATATCAGTGGTCATAGTGGTCTTTCTCTCTCCCATCCCCACTGAGTCAGAACTGATTCATAGCCGACCCTCCAGTAGGTTTTCAGAGGCTGTGAATCACCAGGAAGATATTTCTTCTCTTTCTCCTATGGAACAGCTGGTAGAGTAGAAACGCTTGCCTTTGGGTGAAGGTATTGACAATATAAAATAAGGGGAAATTAGAATAATATGACAAAATAAAAAGAAGACACAGAGAAGTATGCAAGGGTTGTAGAAAATTAACCATTACATATATAGCCTTAATCTCTGTGATAGCAGGTGGTTATCACATGATCTGTGGGAATAAGTATCCAAGAAGGTAGTAAGAACCTGATATGCAGTTTTTTCACTTGTAAACTTTTACAAAATATATACAATTTATTTGAGTACAGGTTTACAGCATTGAATACCAATGATTGGATGAGTTGTGGGATGATATCAAGGATATTATTCATTGAAGGAAGGAAAAAGGTCATGACAAAAACAGAGGAGAAAGAAATAACCAAAATGAATATCAGAAGAGACTCTGGTAGGAAAACGAAAAATCTGGAACAAGAACTACATCACAAAGTAAATTAGAGTAGGAGGAAAGGGGTGGGAGGAACATGTGTATCAATGAATGAAAATACAAACATCCTGTAAATCTTCATTAAAATGACATTAAAAATTTCAAAAGAAAAAAGAAGAGACTCTGAAAATTGCACTTCAGTGTCAAGAAGTCAAAACAAAGGGAAAACATGCTGAAGTAAAGAACTGAACAGAAGATTTCAAAGGGCAGCTTGAGCAGACAAAACAAAGCACATACTGGAATGTGCAGGGATCTGGTACTGCAGAATAAAAATGGAACTCATTCTTCATCTCTTAAGCTTAGTGAATGGAAAAGCAAATTTAAACCTTGAGTTGCAATACTGAAAGATGTTATTGCATGATCCAGAAAACATCAAAAGAAGATGGAGGGGGAATTAAAAAAAATAAAGAAGAAGAAGATGGCGGGAATACACAGAATCACTATACCATAAAGAACTCACTGACAGTGAAAAATTTCAGGAAGTACAGTATGAGCAGGTGCCAATGGTAACGAAGGAGGAAGTGAAGCTGCATTGAAGGCATTGGCAAAAAATAATGGCCCAGGAATCGATGTGATACCAATTGACTTGTTTCAATTAACAGACACAGCTTTGGATGCGCTCACCAGTCTATGCCAGGAAATTTGGAGGACAAGTGTCTAGCCAATGGATTGCAAGAGGAGCACCCATAGATCCATCCCTATTTATTCTTATTTCCAAGGAAGTTGATCCAACAGAACATGGAAACTATCGAACAATATCACTATCACATGCAAGCAAAATACTGCTGAAGACCATTCAAAAATTACTAAAGCAGTTACATAGAGATGGAACAGCCAGAAATTCAAGCATGATATAGATGAGGCTGTGACAAAAGGGATATCATTGCTGAAGTCAGATGGATCCTGGCTGAAAGTATGGAATGCCAGAAGAATGTTTATTGACTTTACTGACTGTACAAAGGCAATTTTATTGATGGTGTGGATCATAATAACTTGTGGCTGACATTGAGAAGAAATTGCAGAGCACTTAATTTGAGGCTGAACTAGAGGATGTTGTGTGAACAGAGCATGGAAACACTGCATGGATTAAAATTAAAAGGGAGTGTGTCATGTTTTTATTCTCTTTCCATACCTATTTAATTTGTATGTGGAGCAAATTCTTTGAAAAGCTGACTCTATAAAGAGGTATTCCTCTTATTTGGCATCAGGATCAGAGGAGACTCAGCAATAGTCTGTGTAATGCTAATAACACAACCTTTCTTGCTGACATTTAGGAGGACTTGCAATACTTGTTGCAGAACATCGATATGAATTGCATCTTAGCGTCAAGGAAAAAAAAGATTCTTGCCACTAGACTGATAGGCAACATCATGGCGGATGGAGAAGAAATTGGAACTGTCAATAAGTTCATCTTACTTGGGTCCACAATGAGACGAATTGGAAAAGTCTACAGTTAGCGACCCATCCAAATTATTGAGGAGTAATGATGTCAGTTTGAGGACTAAAGTGTGTTTGGCGTGATGTCTTTGAGTTGTATTGGAGAAGACCACTGAATATTCCATGGACTGCCAAAAAAACATATAAATGTGTTTGGAAAGGGTGCAACCAGAGAGGGACATGATACTTGGAAGGATGGAGGGTTAGCGAAGGACAGGAAGAACCTCAACCAGGTGGATTGACATGGTGGCTGCTGCAATAGGTTCCAGTGCGTAAGGACTTGTGAAGAAGGCACAGGAAAGGACAAGGTTCAGATCCGTTGTTGCTAGGAGTTATATTCAGCTCAATGGAACTAAACAAGACGAATAGTGTAGTTAGACTGATCCTGCAGTTGCAGCTTTCCCCATGTAATACCATAAAATGGAGGAGCTTCCTCAACTATGGTACAGGATACAGGCAGCATTTATATACCAACATGGACATTAGTGATAAGTGCAGCTCAATTATACTACAGAGAAAAAAGAAAGAAAAAAAACTGTATCCCAGGGCTTCAGAACATAAGTACAGGAATAAATGAAATACATAGAAATAAACTCAACATAGAGTCATATACCATACTATGAGCAAGAAACTATCTTTTAAGTGAGCTTTTTGAACTGTATATAGACAGATCTAATAATCTGTTAGATAATTGAAATTTTTTTCATTTCTGATTTTTTAATTAATTTTAATGAAAGTTTACAGAGACTTTGGATTTCTATTCATTCATTGTTGAACTTTTCTCCCTGCCCAACCTGCCCCCTTCTCGAGTTCGCTCTTCTCTTTGAAAAGTAAAAGAAAAATTCTTTAATTGTTATGCAATCCCTCCCCTCAAGTCCACTCCACTATGCAGCCTTTGTTCTAGACTCCTGCCAATGCCGTATCATATATCCCTTTTAAACAGTTTCAGTACAGTACACATAATTCATCCTATCTCAGTCTCCCCCCAACCCTGTTGTTTGTCCTGTTTTACAGTGTTTTACAGTGGCACTATGCAGTATTTGTCCTTTTGTGACTGAGATAATTCACTCAGCATAATGTACTCCAGGGTTACCCATTTTGAATAATATTTCATGAGTTCCTTGTTTTTCAATGAAGCATAGTATTCCATTGTGTGAATATACCACAGCCTCTCTCTCTATTCATTTGTTGATGGGAACTTAGATTGTTTTCAACACTTTGCTATTGTGAATAAAGCCACGATAAACATGGGTGTGCATATATCTGCCTGGGTGGTGGTTATGGTTTCTTTAGGGGATATTCCCAGTAATGGAAATGCTGGGTCAAATGGTATTTCTATTTGCAACTTTTTGAGAAAGCACCATACTGCCTTCCATAGTGGTTGCACCATTTTACACTCCCACCAACAGTGAATAAGGGTTCCACTCTCTCCACGACCTTGCCAGCATTTGTTATTTGATGTTCTGTTAAATTTTGCTTTTCTTACTGGGGTGAGATGATACCTCATAGTTGTTTTTATTTGCATCTTTTCTTAGAGCTCGGGATATTGAACATTTCTTCATGTGTTGCCATCTGAATGTCTTCTTTGGTGAAGTGTCTGTTCATATCCTGTGCCCATTTTTCAAGTGGGTTGTTTACCTTTATTTTGTTGTGGTGCTCAAGTATTTTATAAATTCTAGATAT